AATGAAATATCAAACTAAATTAACAGGTAATGTACAGAGCCAAAAATGCAAGGTTTTTGAAATAACCAAGATAACTCTTCTGGTCTATTTGATATTGACACAAGGAAATAATATCAACAGATCTTCTAAGCAGCAGGCAGTAATATATATTGGGCTGTAAAGGTTGGTTTAATGAGCAGGTCATTAAAGAGGTCGGGCGTGAATTTATATATTTGCATTTTTTTGCAGCCATGTCACTAATTTAATGTAAAACCACCTCTATTGTTCACGAATGCCAGAATTCGTCGAGAGAAGCTTCTGATGAGAGTACCAATTTCAACTTGAGTCATGTTGTGCTACTGATCAGAGAGAACTGCATCAGGTTCACTGAGATGCCAATGACATGACAGCCGTGCTATATACTGGACTGGTCAGGGATGAATGTTGTCCATGACATGGCTGTGTTGCTGTTGGAGGCATTAGAATACAAGCCGGGCATGACGAGTACGTGTATTGTCATCAAGAAAATGAAACGTTCAACAAAACGAAATGCAAATGACGCCAGGATTGCATCAATGATCCATAGACAAAGTGGCAGGTCACACAGTCAGTATGACCCTCACCATGACACTACAAACCCACCATCAAACCGGTTTTGTTATATGACAACAACGTCCGTGAAACGTTCATTAGGACTTATCGAAACGCTTTTCTCGGGCCCTTGGTCATAAAAGTCGAGAATGAACTTCGATCCGTCAGGAAACATGACATAACCCCAACACCGATTATCCCAACGATGACGCCATAGGATGACACATGGAGGACGAGTACTCAGAGTATCTTCCGCAAGTAACAGATCTCATATCTGAGTGGTAGTTTGCAACAAAACCGATTTCGTAATGTCATCGTCCTCTGCCCGGGTGAAGATTTATGCCAAAGAGCGGTTGCTCATCAGCTGTATTTGACAAACTGCTGATAATAGTCTGAGGAACTTTCAACGTTTGAGTAACAACGTTCTCATATGTGCGAGCCATGTCTTTGTCATGTAAACGTTGCAAACGACGCATGATCAGTACTGTTACAATGCATTTAACAAAGAACCTTTGAGCGTTTTCTTCCAAGATAGCAATATACGTCTGGTGACAATCTGATGTCCAAGAGTAATTCTGGCACACCACCTCTTGCACGTAGAGTCTGAGGTCACTCACCCACTCACTCACGTCCTCATAGCAAAGCGGTTTTGAATGAAACACAAACAAACATCAGAAGAATCTAAATAATGAAACAAGCTAAGTTATACTTACGATAGAGAAAACTGTCGCAGTTTATCAACTCTTGGAAGTGTAATGTTTCAATATTCCACACGTATATATACCTGTTTCTTTGACATGTGTAAATTTGAATAAGGTGGTCTTAATGGAGGTGACCTCTGACGAATCATACGTGTTTACACGTGTACTTTGTGTCGTAACAATGTCAACATGTTAATATTAGTCGTGATTTTTTTGCACGAACGTGGCAACATCTGTGATCATACTTGATGACATTGTTGACACCAGGAATGTACTATTTTTGGAAAGAGGAATATTTTGTAAAAGATATCTGTTGTTTTAGGCACCGAAGATCTGTATGAATGAGTCAAACTTTAATCTGCTTTAAGAAATGTACCTGGATTGGATAACCTATGGAAAAAGATAAGTTTCTGAATATTGATAATATTTCTATACTAAAACATATTTTACAGGATATGTACGCATGCCTGAATTTAATAACTTTTACACTCGTAACGTGCCCAACTATACATTCCATATTATTCGGAATATGTTTTGGTGTTTAAATCTTACTGCCAGTCTAAGCGTTTCTTTACGAAAACATAATATGTTTATTTTGAAAATGGCATATTTTCTTCCTTAAACAATCTCCTATTAGAAATGGTCAAAACTGCTTGAGCTTTATGAAAAGGTAAAGAGACCTGTCCATCGGTTCTTGTTACAAGTGAACGAGTCAACTGGGTAACCTAAACTACTTGTTCATCTGGAATACACAATGTAGAGGCAGGATATCAGCGAGATGTGATCACAAGGTCTGCTCAATTACATACGAGGTTTTCATGTGAATGGAATTTAGAATTTGGACCTTCGACTAACATATATTTGAAAATTAATGATATGTTGTTTACACAAAGTACACAAAGTACCGATTTTAAAGATTTTGATGTTAAATATTCTATTATTTACACAGGCCTTTGAAAACAAATAGTATAATTTGTTGTTGGTCACATGTCAGCACGTATTCCGACGTTCCCCAGTTTCTCCCTTTTCAAATATAATTGTTTTCATTGGTCAAAACTGACAATTGCTTGGCAACGTGTAGTTTATGAATTAGAGCCACAGGTCAATTTGGGAGCCATGGGTTAAAAGGTCATGTCCAATAATAGGAACGTGTTGGAGACCGTGGACTTGATGTAAATTCCACTACTTGTGGCTGCGAAGACTCACATACCTGTTACCAAACTGTATGCCATGTAATGAAAGGTGACATCTGTATCATTGACAATAACACTCTTCGTAAGTTATACCAAGACAAGTGCGTCTTTTATGGACCAAAGTTTCGTGAGCAACCTCCCAACAATTGGGATTAAAACTTTAAGATAATTATGGATAGTACCAAAGCTTTACCAACAATAACCTAAAGTGGAAAAGACACCTGCTAACTGACTTCCACTGTCGGTTGAGTGTTTGATGCTGCCATTAGTAGAATGAACAAAATGAAAGGGTGAAAACGGAATTGGAATAAACCTGTTTTGTTCCTGTCATCCAAGGTCTGTCGGCCCTACATGGAAAAAATTGTAGTTGTTCCCACTTAAAACGTCCTTTAATTGTTTCATCAAAGAGCAAAGAGCAATATTTCAGATATTGCCACATACAAGGCCAGGTATTAAGTGAGTAGGGTTAGTTCCGTTTCAAATTCAGTTTACCCTGCTTGAATCGTGTTTACAGTACTCAGGTATACCTGGATACAGGTCACGTGAACATTTCAATTTGTGCCCATTATAGTCTGACAAAGTGCTATATATAATCAGCAAGTGCATATTGAAATTTTACAATATTTTAAAATAAAATGAGCACTTTATTAAAATATTGCTGTTCGAAGGTCGTGTTATGTGCAGAGAGCATTTAAATAGAAGCGACAAAACCCTCCCACATCCCTAAGAAATCTCTACTTAAAGCAGAGTCGATTGCAAAATTGTGACTATATCATGAGTATAAATTTGTTTCCGCAGTATTACAGCCGTACTACGATGTTGTTTGTAAACAAATCGAGTCTGAACCAGTGACTATCACCATGCGATACGATGAAGTGCATTGGACATCATTTGTGTCACTGATGCATCAAATTTGGACTTTTTTCTCCACATGTCTCTGTTCCTTTATATATTTTCAGAATTTCACTCACAGTGCAATATATACCTTGTGAAGAAACCTGGAAAAAAATAAAAGGAACACGTGTACTTACATGTGTTCCCTTATTAGTTTCCATGAGTATTTATATTTGGGTCTATAATGGATAGAGCTCATAGAAACTACAAGATGACGTTGCTAAGAGGGACGGGCCACGCCAATATGTCACCTAAGATTCAGCGTTTGTCCCAAAGCTGGACATCATAATTATACGGTTACTTGGGCTAAAGGAGTCGTTTTCGGGGCGGGTACCGCATACATGTACCCTGTACAGAGAAACGTAACCTACCAAAATCGGAATACAGAAACTTATCCAGGGACGAGACCGAACTGTCATACTATTGTGTAAGATGCATTGGATTGTGTTATAAACTTAAACAAAACACACAGTGACAAAATATTGCGTGATGCACAGTGTCACTTGTAATGATGCGAACGGAAGCTAAATAAACGCGAAACACTTTCGATCCCATTTAAAAAATGATCAAATATAACAAAATTACATGATAAATTTTGGATTACACTATCTCAGTACAATGTAGACTTGTCTTCCGTTTAGGGTACCGGGCACGTTGTGCATGCTGTCTTTGTTCAGCGTACACTTCGGCGTACAAAAACGTACCTTGGGTACATATCTGTAGTACCCGTATCAACAACGACCCCTTCGGTGTTACTTGCTTGTTTGCGTTTCTCTGCTTCCCAGTTCGTGCCTCACCAGACACCATTATTTAATAAGATTTCAAACAGCTGGTGTCACTGATGGAATATTGTTCAAAGCGGTGTATATCCACACTCATTCACTCTTTCATGTAAACCAGGGTCCTGATCCACAAAGCAGCGTTCGAAATCAACGTCGGTCCATTGGACCGAAGGCGACAGAAAACCACTCGGAGCCACAGCTTTTGTTTTCTGCATCCCCAATAACTAAGAGTCTTATTTCCATATTAAAATATAGGGCCTGCACATTCTGATCAGGAAGCACAACTTTTTATGGTTCTGGGTCCTTAGTGCCTGCAGCTTTTCAGTGTTAAGGGCAAACACTGCCACAAAGAATTCGTAACGATAAGCCTAAATTCAGTAGTTTATCATAGGCTTACAAATGTCGTAGCGCTATAAACGATTCATAACACGTTTCAGGTAAACCTTCTAATTAAACAAAGTGCACAAAACAAAGAAGACGGTCAGTTGTTTATTGTAATTTGACGACCACGACGAAGAGAGGAACGAATTCTAAACAAACAGAAGCATGTGTTTGTAAACAGTAGAAATATGCACTGTTGTGCAGAGTATGCGCTGTTTCATACATAACAGCACACTTGAGATTTGTCGTGTTTAATGATGTCCATCAGATCAAATCACTCTGAACAACTTGTTTTCTAGGGAAGCCAGTCTTCATGAAACCCGAGTCCGCCACGTTTTACAGCAATATGTCTATTGCATTTGATCACTAGTCACTGCCATTATCACCTCCGTCATCTCCACCGTCATCACCTCCGTCATCACCTCCGTCATCTCCACCGTCATCCCCTCCTTCATCTCCAAAGTCATCACCTCCGTCGTCTCCACCGTCATCACCTCCGTCATCGCCACCGTCATCTCCACCGTCATCACCTCCGTCATCACCTCCGTCATCACCTGCATCATCATTACCACCGGTTTCTCCGCTTGAATTATTTGCAGGTGGAGAAGCAGGTTGAGGGGCAGTTTGAGGGGCAGGTTGAGAAGCAGGAGCAGGTGGAGTTGCTGAGAAGATTATATTTAATTAGAAAATATTCCAAAACTACGAAACAAGGGCGAAACAAAGACGTATGGAACACAGCTATATACAAAACTCATTATTGAGAAGGAAACACTATGGCTTTAAAATCCATAGATAAGACCATCAAATATAACGTCTCCAAAATATGACATGATGATAACGGCAATCGGACGTTAATAAAGAAACATACACATTCATCATACCATCAGAATAGTATCACACTAAAAGGAAACCTTTTGTTTAGTGTAATCAAACATATCTTCAAGGTTATATATACTACACATCCCTTTGTGGGTATATTCATCCCTTTTGATTGCAGTATTTTTTATTGTCATCGCAGTGAAATGAAAACAGGGTCATTCTCCAAAGTAAGGTCAGAAATAAACAATAGAACTGTCATTCCGGGTTAATATGGACTTCTGAAATGATGGCTGCGCATCAACTGTTACATCATCAGAAAGATACAATTTGACGATTCATGACACCTTTAAATCATTTAATGTGACAGCTGTACTGTGCATTCCAAAGAGTGTTTAAGTAGTATTGTGTGTATAAATGAAAAAGACAAGATCGTGCATATCTGGGAATCTGATACATCTGATAGTCGTAGAGACATCGACCGACGGATCATACACCTTCAATTTACACACAAACGCTTTTATTCAGAGATGTAAACTATTCATTTGAACTCACTATCCTGGGCGTCACCCATTTGCCACAAGCAGGCAAATGCAAGCACAACCGCCATGATCATAATTGTCTTGGTCCTCATAGTGACTGTTCTTCAGGCGTTTCTGAAATATATGGAACAAAACATGTTTAAGCAAATGCCTGTCTGTCCTGGACTCATGCGCACCAGATAATCAGTTCGACTTAAAATATCCATAATTATTTTTGGCATTAGTCCATACAGATAATGGTACTCTCTGATGGACGAAAATACTAAAATCATGGGAGACCTGTCAAAAGGTAAGCGCAATAATGAAATATCAAACTAAATTAACAGGTAATGTACAGAGCCAAAAATGCAAGGTTATTGAAATTACCAAGATAACTCTTCTGGTCTATGTGATATTGACACAAGGAAATAATATCAACAGATCTTCTAAGCAGCAGGCAAAAATATATATTGGGCTGTGATGGTTGGTTTAATGAGCAGGTCATTAAAGAGGTCGGGTGTGAATTTATTAATTTGCATCTTTTTGCAACCATGTCACTAATTTCATGTAGAACCACCTCTATTGTTCACAAATGCTAGAATTCGTCGAGACATGCTTCTGATGAGAGTACCAATTTCAACTTGACTCATGTTGTTCTACTGATCAGAGAGAACTGCATCAGGTTCACTGAGATGCCAATGACATCACAGCCTTGCTATATACTGGACTGGTCAGGGATGAATGTTGTCCATGACATGGCTGTGTTGCTGTTGGAGGCATTAGAATACAAGCTGGGCATGACGAGTACGTGCATTGTCATCAAGAAAATGAAACGTTCAACAAAACGAAATGCAAATGACACCAGGACTGCGCCTAAGATCCATAGACAAAGTGGCAGGTCACACATTCAGTGTGACCCTCACCATGAGACTACAAACCCACCATCAAACCGGTTTTGTTATATGACAACAACGTCCGTGAAACGTTCATTAGGACTTATCGAAACGCTTTTCTCGGGCCCTTGGTCATAGAAGTCGAGAATGAACTTCGATCCGTCAGGAAACATGACATAACCCCAACACCGATTATCCCAACGATGACGCCATAGGATGACACATGGAGGACGAGTACTCAGAGTATCTTCCGCAAGTAACAGATCTCATATCTGAGTGGTAGTTTGCAACAAAACCGATTTCGTAATGTCATCGTCCTCTGCCCGGGTGAAGATTTATGCCAAAGAGCGGTTGCTCATCAGCTGTATTTGACAAACTGCTGATAATAGTCTGAGGAACTTTCAACGTTTGAGTAACAACGTTCTCATATGTGCGAACCATGTCTTTGTCATGTAAACGTTGCAAACGACGCATGATCAGTACCGTTACAATGCATTTAACAAAGTACCTTTGAGCGTTTTCTTCCAAGATAGCAATATCTGGTGACAATCTGATGTCCAAGAGTAATTCTGGCACACCACCTCTTGCACGTAGAGTCTGAGGTCACTCACCCACTCACTCACGTCCTCATAGCAAAGCGGTTTTGAATGAAACACAAACAAACATCAGAAGAATCTAAATAATGAAACAAGCTAAGTTATACTTACGATAGAGAAAACTGTCGCAGTTTATCAACTCTTGGAAGTGTAATGTTTCAATATTCCACACGTATATATACCTGTTTCTTTGACATGTGTAAATTTGAATAAGGTGGTCTTAATGGAGGTGACCTCTGACGAATCATACGTGTTTACACGTGTACTTTGTGTCGTAACAATGTCAACATGTTAATATTAGTCGTGATTTTTTTGCACGAACGTGGCAACATCTGTGATCATACTTGATGACATTGTTGACACCAGGGAATGTACTATTTTTTGGAAAGAGGAATATTTTGTAAAAGATATCTGTTGTTTTAGGCACCGAAGATCTGTATGAATGAGTCAAACTTTAATCTGCTTTAAGAAATGTACCTGGATTGGATAACCTATGGAAAAAGATAAGTTTCTGAATATTGATAATATTTCTATACTAAAACATATTTTACAGGATATGTACGCATGCCTGAATGTAATAATTTTTACATTCGTAACATGCCAAACTATACATTCCATATTAATCAGAATATTTTTGGTGTGTTTAAATCTTACTGCTAGTCTAAGCGTTTCTTTACGAAAACATAATATGTTTATTTTGAAAATGGCATATTTTCTTCCTTAAACAATCTCCTATTAGAAATGGTCAAAACTGCTTGAGCTTTATGAAAAGGTAAAGAGACCTGTCCATCGGTTCTTGTTACAAGTGAACGAGTCAACTGGGTAACCTAAACTACTTGTTCATCTGGAATACACAATGTAGAGGCAGGATATCAGCGAGATGTGATCACAAGGTCTGCTCAATTACATACGAGGTTTTCATGTGAATGGAATTTAGAATTTGGACCTTCGACTAACATATATTTGAAAATTAATGATATGTTGTTTACACAAAGTACACAAAGTACCGATTTTAAAGATTTTGATGTTAAATATTCTATTATTTACACAGGCCTTTGAAAACAAATAGTATAATTTGTTGTTGGTCACATGTCAGCACGTATTCCGACGTTCCCCAGTTTCTCCCTTTTCAAATATAATTGTTTTCATTGGTCAAAACTGACAATTGCTTGGCAACGTGTAGTTTATGAATTAGAGCCACAGGTCAATTTGGGAGCCATGGGTTAAAAGGTCATGTCCAATAATAGGAACGTGTTGGAGACCGTGGACTTGGTAGTTCATGATGTAAATTCCACTACTTGTGGCTGCGAAGACTCACATACCTGTTACCAAACTGTATGCCATGTAATGAAAGGTGACATCTGTATCATTGACAATAACACTCTTCGTAAGTTATACCAAGACAAGTGCGTCTTTTATGGACCAAAGTTTCGTGAGCAACCTCCCAACAATTGGGATTAAAACTTTAAGATGATTATGGATAGTACCAAAGCTTTACCAACAATAACCTAAAAGGAAAAAGACACCTTCTAACTGTCTTCCACTGTCGGTTGAGTGTTTGATGCTGCCATTAGTAGAATGAACACAATGAAAGGTTGAAAACGGAATTGGAATAAACCTGTTTTGTTCCTGTCATCCAAGGTCTGTCAGCCCTACATGGAAAAAATTGTAGTTGTTCTCACTTAAAACGTCCTAAAAATTGTTTCATCAAAGAGCAAAGAGCAATATGTCAGATACTACAACATACAAGGCCAGGTATTAAGTGAGTAGGGTTAGTTCCGTTTCAAATTCACACCCTGCTTGAATCGTGTTTACAGTACTCAGGTATACCTGGATACAGGTCACGTGAACATTTCAATTTGTGCCCATTATAGTCTGACAAAGTGCTATATATAATCAGCAAGTGCATATTGAAATTTTACAATATTTTAAAATAAAATGAGCACTTTATTAAAATATTGCTGTTCGAAGGTCGTGTTATGTGCAGAGAGCATTTAAATAGAAGCGACAAAACCCTCCCACATCCCTAAGAAATCTCTACTTAAAGCAGAGTCGATTGCAAAATTGTGACTATATCATGAGTATAAATTTGTTTCCGCAGTATTACAGCCGTACGATGTTGTTTGTAAACAAATCGAGTCTGAACCAGATAATCCAGTGACTATCACCATGCGCTACGATGAACTGCATTGGACACTGATGCATCAAATTTGGACTTTTCCTCCACATGTCTCTCATATAACTTGAAATAGTGATGACACCAGGTCTTCCCGAAGAGGTGAGCGTTTCCAACCCCACTGGTGGCACCCGTCATAAACATATGCCAGTTCTCGTCAATTGTTCACCTGCAAGTCAAAATAGGGAATTGCATGGGACTTTATGTTTATGACTGATGCATCAAATTTGGACATTTACTTCTCATGCCTGCCATAACACTTATTGACAGATTTACTGAGGCCTTGAATGATGTATCCTTGATCGAACAAGGGTGGCATGACGTTCTTTGAAATCTTGATAAAAAGAGCACGCTCGATTGCACCCCAAAAGTTGGTGCTGTTGAAATATTGCTCGACTATTGGAAAGTTGAAATCAACCCTTTTGCCATACAGCCTTGTGGTGGGTTATTTGTCTCTCTGAATCTTTATGCAAAACCAACTAGATGTGAAAAGAGGGCCCCAAAAAATACCGAGTTTTTTGTTGTTGTAATGAACATTAATTTAAAAGAACTGATATTAAATATCTATCTAACCATCACTCATCCTTGCAACAGGTTGTAAACATACTTTCGTTTATTGATGACTACTGTAAAAATATATTTTGTAACCATATGCCCATTCCATCTTTGTAATCCGTTATGTTTGTGCCTAAAAGAATATTGATTCTGAAGGATAAGATGTCAATCCGCCGCCATATATAGCTGGGATATTGCTGAGTGCGGCGTAAAATTAAACTCACCCACTCACTCGATAAGATGTCAATGATACCTATCAGCACTTGTGTATCGCTTTGAAATTCTCAGTTGAAATTACACCGAGAACATTAAGTGCTTATCAAGCGTGACAGTGAACTACTGAAACCAGTGGAATTCCTGTTGCGTAGATATGTGAATGTGTCAAATGCAGATTGGAACAGTTAATAGGAATAATATCTGAGGTGATGCCAAGAGTGACACAGGTCAGAAATGCTTAGCATCTGATGACAACTGATGTTGACAAACAAAACATCAAAACTAGGAGACAATCTGGGATTCGTACATGCACACGCCAAATTCTAAAGTCTGTTGAATGTCACTCAGTCCACCACTAATGTTAAAACACGTGTTAGCAAATGGTTAGGGAACTACAACTGCGCAGCAAGAATTGGCAACTGTGAAATAACCTCCACATACGAAACATGATATCCACGATAAATGAGAATTAGCTACACTCGGGGCTAGTTCTTTCAGCCACTGTGTCGGTCTAATGTATATTTACTTACTTTAATAAACCAGCCACAAGCTGCTGCCTCGTTTCGTACATGATTCAAAACACGGATGTAAATTACATGTATTATCAGGTAAATTGTCAGTTGGTGTGTTAAATTAATCTCATTGAAATAACATACAATGTCTTCCGTCGCAAAGAAAACTTCGTTTTGATCATGTATGAAATGTGTTAAAAATATATAACATTGGAAA